GTTGTGTGTTGCCTTGACTGATGAAGCCTTCCGGATCAAAGGCGAAATGTTTCAGCACAAAAAAAAAAAAAACTGTTCAGATGACCTGACTGAAAAATGTTGGACGGCAGTAAATCCTTAACAAAATGTCTGAAAAAGAAAAGAATCAATGACATTTAATGCTCTGATCATAGTCCATGCCTCCGCATTGATTTGTGAAACTTAAAAAGTTTTGCAAAAAATGATCACTTCAAGTAAAGATGACCATTTGCCACTACAAGCTACTAAATCATGGGGTGGTAATGCTGCATCATTTTGAATACACCATTCTCTGAGTTGCAGCTTTTCCCTCAAACCCACAAATCAACATGATATATCACATTTGCTCATAATTACACATAAAAATATAAATTTGTAAAAAATGAGACTGTTAAGATCCTGCTACCTGCTAAAATTTCCCCAAATTTTATGTTCACAATAATATTTATTCTTATAAACTCAAGCTCAATGTCCCGTGGCTGAAACATGAAACAAATGTTAAATGTGGAAACAAGCAGAATTTTTTTTAATGTAATCCAAAGCAGCCACTTTATGTGTGATAGGATACTAGAGAGATAGAAGTCCTAAAGCAATAAATACCAAGGGAGATGATTTCATTTTACTTGACAGAGAGAGGTCAGAAGTCAGGGTCAGATACTGAGCAGCAGCTCTTGAGGATGCTGGGATGCTCAGAAAATCTGAACTGAGCAGGACCAGAAGAGAGATTTGATTTATTCTCTTGCACCAGTTATAACTCGAGTCATTCTCAGCTTCTTGAATCTGCTCTTTCTGCGATTCATCCTTAGCATTAGACACTATTTAGTCAATAAACATATTCATTTAATGGTGAATTTCAGTGTTTATGTTTAGTTTATATCATCCAGGGGAGTGGTGGCACAGAGGTGAGAGAAGGTGAGCCTGTGATTGGTCGGTCACTGGTTCAACACCCCCCCCAGATTGACAATATCAAAATGTGGGTAGGAAAAGTGAAACACCCACACCTGCCTACACCCTAGTTTGCCCCACTCTAGGCCCTTGAGCAAGACCAATAGCCCCCACCATCTGCTCCCCCAGACACCCTAGATAGCAGTTCTCTGCTCCACATAGGTGGTCTGTGGTTGCGCCAGGAATGTCATTTGATGTAAAACCAATTGCCAAGTCTTCGTGCGAGTTAGTTCGATTTTGCA